ATTATTGGGTATCCTAACTCTTGCTCATGGATGCGCTTTGATTTGTGTGACTGATAATTTTTATTTATAATATTGTAAGCTTTTTACATTGATAATATTGTGAACGTAATTTCTCCCCCACTGTGGGATAACTATGTATTCTCTAGAAAGGCTTTATGTTTGTCTCTGCCTGGTCTCTGATGTTTCACAGCCTTAAACTGATCTTTGTTAATTTCTTGGCTTTAGCTTCCTGAATCACATACATAACTGAAATTCAAACTTCATTCCCATGTGGATGTAGGTTGTTTTATTTTATCTAAGGAGAGGGAAAGATATAGTCAGAAATAGTAGTCCATGTGATCCACACTGTCACGTTTTCAGAGTCTTAGATCTTTAAAGGCCCATCTGAAGTTTGATAGCTTAGAATCGATTAAAATTACTTAAATCTTAAAATACTTATTTTTCAGATAGTTGCTTTCTGTTTTTAAAAGTTTGTATAAAACCTAGTTTTTAAGACATATTAAAGCTCAAAGATATCATTGGTAGAAGCAGAGCTTCCAATAAAATGTTCACAGAAGTACATTACTGTAACATTTTCAGAAAATTTTAATAAATAGACTATTTTTAACTGTAGCTTAAACTGTTATGACCTAGGTATTAAGATACAAAGATTAGTAAGACCTAATCCTTTCAATGAGATAAAGGACTAACTGGGAAAAGAGATAAAGAGACAGACAAGTGTGGAACCAACTCATTCATTTGTTTATTCATCTACTCTTCATTCAACAAAATTGATTATCTAATATATGCTGGGCATTGTTCTAGGTGCTGTGGATGTAGCAGAAAATAAAACCTGCAAAAATGATTTGCATCATGGAGCTTATATGTAGTGTGATTCTAGTAATATGAAGAAAGTTCTCTGGAAATTCAAAAAAGGCGTATTAATAGTTTGGCATTTCTACCCTCAACTGTGTCTGCTGTCTTCATGTAGACACCTTTTGTTTTATTTTTTTCAGAGAATAATCCTCAGCTTTTTCTAGCTGGAAGGGGGTATCATCTGACTGGGTAAGGGATAGCTTTTTAAACAGCCTTTCAGCCAAGATTTCTAGTTTTAGCTCATCTCATTACAGAGGTTCCTGGTGCTGGCAATTCCTGAGGCTTTCTGTGTTTGGTGTGAACTGGATTGCTTCTTCTTGGTTTTCCTTATTGGTAGTTTAAGAATCAAACTTTTTTTTTTGAGACGGAGTCTCCGTCTGTCATCCAGGCTGGAGTGCAGTGGTGCAATCTTGGCTCACTGCAAGCTCCGCCTCCCAGATTCATGGAGTTCTCCTGCCTCAGCCTCCGGAGTAGCTGGGAGTACAGGCGCCTGTCACCATGCCCGGCTAATTTTATCTATTTTTAGTAGAGGCTAATTTTATGTATTTTTAGTAGAGACAGGGTTTCACCATGTTAGCCAGGATGGTCTCCGTCTCCTGACCTCGTGATCTGCCGGCCTCAGCCTCCCAGAGTGCTGGGATTACAGGCGTGAGCCACCACTCCCAGCCAGGAATCAAACTTTTAAGGCTCTGCTCTGCTAGTTTCCACTCTCTATTTTCTGGTTTTCAGAATTTTGTTTGTTATTTCCTTTTAAATTTGTTCTTATGAAATCCCTTTACTATTATTTTAATGATTTTAATGAACTAAAATTGAATGTGTGTGTTCAGTCTACCATCTTTACCTGAAAGTCTAATTGAATTGTCCTTAATCTTGTTAATCTATAGTAGGTATAGGAAATCTGTTTTTTTGTTTTTTTTTTTTTGAGACGGATCTCACTCTGCTGCCCAGGCTGGAGTGCAGTGGCGCGATCTCAGCTCACTGCAACCTCCACCTCCTGGGTTCAAGTGATTCTCCTGCCTCAGCCTTCTGAGTAGGTGAGATTAAAGGCACGTGCCACCACGCCCAGCTAATTTTTGTATTTTTAGTAGAGATAGGGTTTCACCATGTTGGTCAGACCGGTCTCGAACTCCTGACCTTGTGGTCTGCCTGCCTCGGCCTACCAGAGTGCTGGGATTACAGGTTTGAGCCACCATGCCTGGCCTAAGAAATCTTCTGCCATCATATGTATGTGTAAATGTATATATATTTAACTTATCACAAAACATGAAGAAGATAGAATGTTATAAAATGTTGGGTAGGAGGCACAATACCTTTGTTTCAATTTTATCTTTAGTATACACTTGCATTGTGTTCTTTGAGCAAGCTACTTTATCTACTTGAAACTCAGTTTTATTACTTGAAAAACAGGAATGTTGGCCAGGTGTGGTGGCTCGTGCCTGTAATAGCAACACTTTGGGAGGCTGGGGTAGGCAGATTGCTTGGCCCAGAAGTTCAAGACCAGCCTGGGAAACATGGCGAAACTCTGTCACTGCAAAAAATACAAAAAAATTAGCCAGCCTTGGTGGCACGTGACTGTAGTCCAAGCTACCCAGGAGGCTGAAGTGGGAGGATCACCTGAACCTGAGAAGTTAAGACTACAGTGAGCCGTGATCGTACCACTGCACTCCAGCCTGGGCGACAGAGTGAGACCCTGTCTGAAAAAACAAAAAGAAGAAGAAAAGAAAAGAAAGAAAACAGGCCGAGCGTGGTAGCTCATGACTGTAATCCCAGCACTTTGGGAGGCCGAGGAAGGCGGATCACAAGGTCAAGAGATCGAGACCATCCTGGCCAACATGGTGAAACTCCATCTCTACTAAAAATATAAAAATTAGCCAGGTGTGGTAGCATGCACCAGCTAAATGGGAGGCTGAGGCAGGAGAATCGCTTGAACCCGGGAGGCAGAGGTTGCACTGAGCTGAGATTGCACCATTGCATTCCCGCCTGGCAACAGAGTGAGACTCCATCTCAAAAGAAAGAAAGAAAGAAAGAAAGAAAGAAAGAAAGAAAGAAAGAGAGAGAGAGAGAGAGAGAGAGAGAGAGAGAGAGAGAAAGAGAAAACTAGGAATTTTAATGATACCCAACTTATTAGAGTTATTGGTTAAGACCAGTTGATAATTTCAAAGCACTATACAAGCTTTAGGGGTTTTTAGCACCACACCACTTATTCAGAATTAATTTTTATTTACAATACAGTACATCTGAGAGTTGAGAAATAAGTTTAAAAAGTCTGTGAACAATTAAAAAATAGATATCATATATTATCTTGTGAAAATCCATACATTTCATTAGTAGACCCTCAATCAGATGTAGAATCAATTTTTATTCTGGTTTTACCAGCTTTGATATCTATAAAACTGGATCATAAATCAGTTAGACATGATAGAGTCTAAAGTTCAAGCTAGACTTGATAAGAGTACAAAGCAAGAAACAACTTTTTTCTTCCTCACCATTGCCCTTTAAAAGGACTGTGTTGACGTTCCTATTTATTTTATTGGATAATATCTTGGTCATGTCACATAGCTTTTTTTCACTCACTTTCAGATGTTAATAGTTTTATGTTTAGGTACCGAAAAGTCTAGTCTAAACTAAATAGAAACTGCAGTCTCTTGTTTAATCTAAAAATTTTCCCCTTACCCTGGTTTGGCTCTGGTTTGGCTCCAGAACCTATTGAGGCTCAGGAGACATGTTTGCTTCTTCTTTGCTCTGCTGCTCACTCCTCTTCTAATCACTAGGCAGCTTTACAGTGGGGTTATATAAGGGACAGGAAAGGTCTTACTCAACTGGTGCAGTGGTCATTTGGCTTTGATGTTTCTTGGGTGTGGTAGATGCCCAATGATGGCTCCTAGTTGACTGTTTTAGTCTTTGCTTTTTAGGGCCTTCCCTCACTGGGGACTTTCCGTGGTGCCTTTTATTGATTCAGGAGGTATTACTTTAGCTGGCTGCTTATGACTCCCCTTTAGCTACTTCTGGTGGTGTGTATCCCCAAACACTCTCAGGTGGGGTTATCTGACCTCTCTGAGAGAGCCTTTTCAAGACAACCAGCCAACCTGCCTTTCATGGAATCTCCTTCACCATGGAGGAACATGCAATCTTGTGGAAGTAGAATTTGCTCGTACTTTAATTCTCTTTACTCACTCTAGCCTTTCACCTTTACACTTTCCAGGCAAATATCAGGCTCTGGTCTTTTTGTTCTCTAAATTCCAAGACATCCATATCCAGTTGTTCTCTCTAAACTGTCTCACTTGACTTTGAGGAGGAGAACTAAATAAAAATCTAGGAAATAAGATATGGTGGTAAATTTATTTTCTGCTCACAAAAAGGAAAATAATCTGATGGATTAATTAAGAATTCAAATTGACAGTCTTCCTCCCCTGCAAGTTCAAGCATTGAGTGTACATACAGCTTAATAAAAAATGAATTGTAGTCATGCTGATTTGGGATTGGCATACTTTATTTGGTCACTGGCTGAATCTACATGTAAATTTCAGGATCCTAATTTGTCATTCTCATTGAATTATTTTCCAAGTTAGGTTATGGTAGTCTAAGTATATACCTTTAAATGTCCAGTTTTATATTTGCCTCATGTGATTGGTCATTAGAGCAGGTTAGTTTGCATTAGGAATTTTATCCTCAGTGTATCTGCAGCTGCACCTTTTGTTTTCTTTGGTTATGACCAAAGAATGAGGTAAATTGGCCTCATTAACAGGAGAACCCTAGGACTTAAAAGAAAAATATATTCTCTCACAGTTCTGGAGGCCAGAAGTCTGAAATCATGGTGTCAAGGGTTCATTCTTTCTGGAGGCTCTAAGGGAGATTCCATTTCATGCCTCTCTCCTAGCTTCTGGTGGTTGTCAGTGATTTTTAGCCTCCCTTGGCTTGTAGCAGATCATTCCAGTCTCTGCCTCCATCTTCACATGGCCTGTGATATTTAGTCATTATCCAGAATATAAAGTTTAATCTATAAGCATGAGTTAAAAATTATAAATGTGTAATTTTAGATTGTTAAAGTTTTAGAAAAGCAAAGGCACGAAAATAGTAATATGAAATAAGAAAAAGCAAACTATTTCTTAAAGTATTTGACTCAGAAAATTTTCTCCTTTCTGTAGCTGTTGGAAAAATTAGAGGAAAGCCTCTTCCATTACTCTTATTTTTTGAGGCCCTCTTTATCACAAGTCATGCTTTTCGATGTCCTGTTGATGCAGCTCTAACCCTGGAAGGAATCAAATGTGGATTATCGGAAAAACGGTTAGATTTAGTTATCAATTGGGTTACACAGCAAAGGTAAGCAAAATTAAGCTTTTAACTTAATTTTGACATTTGGTTAATAAAGTTGTTTGTTCTAAAAATATTAATAGTTTTATCAATATGTTACTTGAAGATTTACTTCAGGTCCCTATTGCAATTAATCAGAAAGTGTTTAGTGGTCGGGCATGGTGGCCTATGCCGCTAATCCCAACACTTTGGGAGGATCACTTGAGGTCAGGAGTTCAAGACCAGCTTGGCCAACATGGTGAAACCCTGTCTCTACTGAAAATACAAAAATTAGCCAGGCATGATGGCCAGGTGCAGCAGCTCATGCCTGCAACCCCAGCATTTTGGGAGTCCAAGGTGGGCAGATGACTTGAGGTCAGGAGTTCAAGACCAACCTGGCCAACATGGTGAAACCCCGTCTCTACTAAAAATACAAAAATTAGCCAGGTATGGTGGCACACGGCTGTAGTCCTAGCTACTCGGAAAGCTGAGGTAGGAGAATCGTGTGAATCAGGGAGGCAGAGGTTTCAGTGAGACGAGATCGCGCCACTGCACTCCAGCCTGGGTGACAAAGCGAGACTCAGTCTAAAAAATATATATATATGCATTTAGTTTCCTATAGAAATCTAATTTTCTTAGCAAATACACAACTACATTCCAAATAACTTTATTTTCATATTGACTATTATCGGGGTGATAGAAATTGACAAGAGTTATCAATAGACATAGGCAAAGGAGAGGAGATCCTTTAAAGTAACATCTGCGGGAAGATGGCTCCCATCTAGAGCAGAGAACAGAACAGCATCATTTCAACCAAATGTTTGGCTTTTCTGGTCTATGAACTTTCCTCACTAGTCACATAGCTGCAAAGGGTGAAAATCCTATCAGGTCATCTAAGAAACGAATCCTAGGTTTTCCTGTAAGCTTTTTTTCTCCTCGTGGATACTTCTGGCTATAAGTAGAACAATCGCTATGCCTGCTGGCTTTTCATAATTATGAGCAAACCATAAAGCGATTGTAGGAATGATTGTAAGTACATACTGACACTGGGGATATACATATTCATATACATATCTATCACAATTATAAGCTTGGGAGCAAGTAAAGACCTTTCATAGAACATTCCTGTGTGAATACCTTGGGGTAGGGCAGAGTCAGTCTTCAATTTTCACACAAAGAAGAACCACATCTTGGCTGGTTGCAGCAGCCCACGCCTATAATCCCAGCACTTTGGGAAGCCAAGGCTGACGGATCACCTGAGGTTGGGAGGTGGAGACCAGCCTGACCAACATGGAGAAACCTTGTCTCTACTAAAAATACAAAGTTAACTGGATGTGGTGACACCTGCCCGTAATCCCAGCTACTTGGGAGGCTGAGGCAGGAGAATCGTTTGAACTCAGAGGTTGCGGTGAGCCGAGATTGTGCCATTGCACTTCAGACTGGGCAGCAAGAGCGAAACTCCATCTCAAAAAAAAAAAAAACAAAAACAAAAACAAAAAAAAAAAAAAAAAAAGAAGAAGAACTCATCTTAGGGCCTGAGAGCCTATTCCCATGCACCTAAAATTACCATGTTTGGCAAAATTATACAGTTTATTCAGACATTGACTTTTTATTTAGAAATATTTTGAATTTTGTTCAGCCTTGAACAAAACAAGAAAATCAGTTTTGTTAGCTTATAAAGAAAATTTGAAGGCTGGTCATGGCGGCTCATGCCTGTAATCTCAACACTTTGGGAGGCCAGGGCGGGAGAATTGCTTGAGCTTAGGGGTTCAAGACTAACCTGGGCAACATAGGAGACCTCATCTCTATGAAAAAAATAAAATAAAACAAAATAACCCAGACGTGGTGGCACATGCCTGTAGCCCCAGCTACTTAGGAGGCTGAGGTGGGAAAATCACTTGAACCTGGGAGATCAAGGCTTCAGTGAACTTGAGCATGCCACCGCACTCCAGCCTGGGCAACAGAATTAGATATTGTCTCAAAAAACAAACAACAACAACAAAAGTATACACTAGGGAAAATGAGAAAATTATTAAACGAATTATGTTAAATTTATTTTGAAAGTCTATCAGTATTTTTTAGTACCACTTACAGGTCATGTACTCTGTTAGAGTGGTCATTTAAAATTGCTGTTATAATAAATCAGATTTTTATATAGTCTTCAGCCCCTCCCTCATTGATTTCTCACAAAAAACACTGGACTGTTTTTCCCAGTGTAAGAATAAAATAAGTGTGGAATGTTAAGTATTACCTACACAACAGAGCCAGTTGCCACAGAGTAAAAGCTTGCGTTGCTTTTGACATACTTTCTAATTTCCTGTTCTGATAATAGCACTAATGTCAGAGAAGGAAACCATTAATTAAAATGAAACTTTATAGAATGTGTGAATGATATCTTTATCAGATGAATAAAAGTATATATATTAACATTGTCATCTCAACAAAAAAATTGACAAACTACGTAACTCATTATAATAAGTGTAATCTCTTTTTTAGTACTGGTAAAATTGACATTACAATTTGAAAATAAATACTTCCAAACTAAAAAGAAAAAGTTAATCTCATCCCAGAATACCCCACAGACACACCCAGAGTAATATTCAACCAAATATTTGGGCACCCTCTGGCCCAGTCAAGTTGACACATAAAATTAACCATCTCAGGAAATGTGTGCTTCCCATGTCTGCAACTTTAGTGTTTGTGAGTCAGGAAGTTTTGACTGACTTGATTATCATAAACAGGTAGGACTGTTGCTATATAATGGAGCAGAAAGGAATATTTTTGGCACTCAGTATTTCCTTGAAGAGAACTTAAGACTTAGATTAGGGTGCAGATCATTTACTAATAAACTACTCCTCAGGAAAATTTTTAAGGGGAATGAAATAGGATAGGACTTAGAACTAAGAGCCAAGCAGGATGTGAACTCAGTTCAAGTCTGGTATTAGCCATTATCACAGGGAGAGGGTTATAGAGCATAGACATTACACAGAGTTCTTTCCTTTTATTAAGGGGCTGGCCTTTTGTAACCCCTATCAGTCAGTCCCTGGGGGTTGAGTATAGACTACTGGGGGTTGTGGATAGGCATAATTTTCTAGGTGAGGAGGCTGCAGACACCTGAGGACAATTCTTCAGAGAAGAAGGCAACTGTGAGCTCTTAGTAGTCAGCTGGAGAAGGGGCACCAGTTCAGTAAATGGGACCTGGATGAGGCACCAGAACAGTGTCTACCATAACAACGGAACAACTTACGAAGATCTGTCAGAGAATAGATAGCAGCTGCTTGTACTGTGTCTTTGCGAAGATGGGCTGGGCTGTGCATATTGGAAGGCAGAGTAGGGAAAGGCCTCCCTGTCATCTGTCTAGTAGTTATAGCCTGCTGCTGGCAGCATAAGGGCTGTGCTTACTTGGCTCTGAATGCATAGGGATGTAGAACACATACTAGGGAATAATGAAGAGCTCTCATCTTTAAGAAGGGTATCATAAAGAGATAAATGGACTTTAGTAAGCAAGCACTTCCTAAATAAATTCATGACTTAGAAATGTCCCAAACATAAAAATGGTAGGTTTGCATACTACTGCCTACTACCACTCATTTCAAAATCACCGTTTCCCCTATACAACTTGTTAAAGCTATCTTGATGGCACTATTTACCAGTGTGAAGTGTTTCTCCCACCCATTCTTATTATGACCTTCATTTACTGTCCACATAATAGTTAATTTTTTTTTTTTTTTTTTTTTGAGATGGAATTTCACTTTTGTTGTCCAGGCTGGAGCATAGTGGTACAATCTCGGCTCACTGCAACCTCTGATTCTCGGCTTCAAGCGATTCTCCTGTATTAGCCTCCCGATTAGCTGGAATTACAGGCATGCGCCACCATACCTGGCTAATTTTTTGTATTTTTAGTAGCAACGGGGTTTCTCCATGTTGGTCAGGCTGGTCTCAAACTCCCGACCTCAGGTGATCCACCCGCCTCGGCCTCCCAAAGTGCTGGGGATTACAGGCATGACCCACCGCGACTGGCCTGTTAATTTTGCTTTAGGAAATTTCTTCTTCATATGTATGCCCTTCTTTTCTCTCTTTGCGCCCTTCTCTCTTTCTCTGCCTGATCATGTTTCTACACCCTCCACAAAAAGTACTTATCAGGGAGCACTGGAAATGGTTTGGACTTGATGACATCATCAGAAAGTGTATGTTCTTTACCAAAACCTGTTTTAAAAAGTTCTAGTGCAAAGACACTTCAGACAAGATTAAGTTTCTTACACATAGTGATGGTTCTTGACCCATTCTACCTCTTAGTTCTAAGAATTTAAATTCTTTAATAACTATGCAGTTCTGTGACTACATGCATTGAGGAAATGCCACTAGTTTTAAGGATCCTGAGATAATATAACAGGGAATATTAAAGGCAATTCACATTCTTCATACTTAGTCTCTGTTTCCTGGCTTCTGCCTCTGATTATCTGGCCTCTATCACATAGCTACCTTAAAAAGCCTTCCAGTTCATTCCCAGAAGCTCAGCATAGAGCTAGCCCTTTAGCAGCCTGCCTAATGGGCTAATCATGGCTCTCTTAGTCATTCTTACCTGTGAAAAGTCTAATCACTTGGTCTACAAAGTCTAAATTTTAAGGAACCATCCTTTACTGGTATTACTTCTCTTAATTGCAGACATTGCTCCCAGAAGAAGATAAATATCCTCTGAAATTTTAACTTTGCAAACTCAATCCTAGAAAGTAACAGTAAATAAATTTTATGCATGGATTTGGAGATTGTATATTACCTTTATTTTGACATTAAAAATTTTTAAACCAAATTTATAATCCAGTATGTCTTAGATTACTGTGGGGTTAAGCATATTTTATTTTATTTATTAGCTGTTCATATTCTCCAGAGCTAGCCTGGTCTCAGATCCACTTTCAGAAGTCCCAGAAACAGTCCTCTTTGAGTTAGGAGTAAGGGTGAGAAAACCCAACAAGGGGACTTTAGGAAAATAGAAAGAGGGTATGATGAGGTGATTGGAGGGAAATAAAAACTTCCCAGCCCTGGCCTTCTCTGAGGTGGTGACCCTTAAATAAAATGGCATTAATAAGATAAATAAATACTAAAATACTGGCATTATGATTTTGCTACAGTATTTCAGTCTCTACATAGACTGAAATAATTAACTTGTTCAGCCTCAGGAATTGTGGCAACTGTAGCTACTAAACTTTATTTTGGTATTAAAGTGTGGAAGTCAGAGAACTGCTTAATTAAATAATTGATTTGTACTCAAGCTGCCTTTTGATTTAGACTCCCCCCTCTGCTGCCCACCCCAATAAACACAGAAGGCTTTATTTACTGAATTTTCAGTAAAGAGACATTTTGTAGGGGGTTCAGGATTTCATTTTAATGTTACCAGCATTTTTAGATGTATACAGACACCAATATCATATGATTGCCGTTATTTTGTAACTATTAATTAAAAATATAAAATATAATTTTCATACCACTAGTAATTAGAAGTGATATGTTTAATCATGCACAGATGGTCTTTTGGCTATGCTTATAGTTTCTAGGTGAAGTTACTCTGATAGTACAACGGATGATTAACTTCAGTTGTGTATAAAGGTGGTACACTAAAATAGGACAAGTGAAATCTATTCTGTTGACCCATCTCAAAAGAACTGCTTCTTCAGTCTTTCCTAATAGGCACAATTATGTCCATTTTCCCGTCTTGCCTCTTATAAATCTATAACAAATTTAAAAAATAACAGTGCTGTCACACTTTCTGTTTTACTTTTGGTAAAAATGCTTGCAATATCTACCTCTATGAGCTGAAATTGTTGTCACTATCTATAACCAATATTTAATAAGCTTTTATATTCCGTAGGGTTTAGAATCTCGATAACTGCTTGAGAATATTAAGACCCTCAATTATGAGAGCATTTTTGTTTACCTCATAATTTTTAGACCTATCAGTCTTTTTAGGAGAGTTTTAATCTTGTTTGTGGTTTTTTTTTGAAACTTGAGCTTTTGAGGAGCCAAAATGTCTTCCTCCAAGGGAATACACACTGATTGTTTTTTTTGTTGTTGTTGTTAAATCTCAGATATGTTTAATTTCTCCTACATAATAAATGGCCTATTAAATTGTAACTTGGAATTCTTGCAGGCAGTAGAAAATCCAGTTCTACTGTGCTGAATTTTCAAATATTTCAGCCTCAGCCACTCATCAGGAATTTTCTAACGTATGTCTTATTGATCTGCTTGTTCTAGACTGACATTTTCTGAGGAGGCTGGGGATGTGATTTGTGATTATGGGGAGCAGGATACTTATAACAAGGCCAAGTGCCTGGCTTTAGCTCAGATTATCTACAGTGAATGTGGCCTGCACAACAAAGTTATTCTTTGCTTGTGTAAACAGGGTCAGACTCATAGGGTCATGGAGTACATACAGCAGTTCAAGGACTTTACTACCGGTAAGTTAAAATGTCTGCCATTTGTATACATTTGAATTCTGGACTTTAATTGTAAAATTACCCATGATAGCAGGCACTACTTTAAACTTACATTATAATATCAATTTTATATATACCAATAAGTGGGAAATTTCTTTTGTAATTTTTCATGAACATAAGTAAGCTGGAGCTGATTGGCTTTCATGCTAGATGTTCAAAAATATTATGTATTTCCTCAAAATAAAAACATTTAATAAACCAGATAGTCCTGGAAATATACAGTTTTAAAGATAAATTTATACAGAGTAACATACTACATATGTGATTTTTAAAAATAACTTATTTGTAATATTTTATTTTATTTTTTATTTATTTATTTTTTGAGACAGAGTCTCACTCTGTTGCCAGGCTGGAGTGCAGTGGCGTAATCTTGGCTCACTGCATGCTCCACCTACTGGGTTCACGCCATTCTCCTGCCTCAGCCTCCCAAGTAGCTGGGACTACAGGCACCCGCCACCACGCCTGGCTAATATTTTGTATTTTTAGTAGAGATGGGGTTTCATCGTGTTAGCCAGGATGTTCTCTATCTCCTGACCTTGTGATCTGCCCACCTTGGCCTCCCAAAGTGCTGGGATTACAGACGTGAGCCACCATGCCCAGCCTGTGATATATTTAAAGTGTAATATAAGCATTAGAAATGAAGAATTTCTAATTTATTTCAAAATTTTAAAACACAATTGAACAGTAATCTGAGATTACAATTGAGCAGTCATCTAAGAGAACTGTGGACCTTAGGGTGACCCTAGTTGGATGAGCAGATCTGTTACTCTGGATCTAGTTTGGCAGTAACTCTGAGTATAGGCATTGCTGACATCTCCCCATCTCCCAGGCCACTGCCCGTCCTGATTTGCAGGCTGTGTATCCCAGTTCTAAGAAGATGCAAAGTGGAACCAAACATAGCTGTTTTAGGTCACATTCTTCCAGGAAAAAGGAGTTTTAGTGGTTGTTGAATCTGGTCATTTTCAAGCAATTAACTGACTTTTTCTTAGAATCTATATATTTTTTGAGTTACAAATGTCTTCATTAATAACAGCATGCCCTATACTATTATTGTAATAATAGCTAGGCTTTTTTCCATGGATTATCTCACTTAATCCTTATGTTGACTCTATGAGGTAGATTTTGTTATTGTACCATTTTATAGATGAAAAAAATAGTATGTTTCCATACAGAGGCTAAGGCACAGCTAGAGGTAAGTGATTTTGTTGTGTAGTGACAGGACAGAATCTGGCATAGTAGGTATTAGTTAATATTCCATTACCTAAGTATACAGTTTCAGTTTCTGGGTTGTTAACTATTATTTTTCCATAGGTAAGAATTATATTAGTTAATGTTTAGACATGGGATATAGATTTTAATTACTTTTAGAATTTAAAAATTTTAGGGATAGGGTCTGTAGTCCCAGCCACTCAGGAGGCTGAGATGGGAAGATCGCTTGAACCCAGACATTCTAGGCTGCAGTGAGCCGTGATTGTGGCACTGCATTCCTGCCTAGGCATAAGAGTGAGACCTTATCCCATAATAATAATAATAATTTTTTAAAAAGAAAATGGATTTTGAAATGTAGTAAGCGAAAGGGATACGAGGAGTTCAAGACCAGCCTGGGGCAACATAGTGGGACCCTGTCTCTATATATTAAATACATTTTAAAAACCCAAGGCTTTCAGAGTTAAATTATGTTTATGGTAGTTCTTGAAAGGCTCTCAGAGTTATTCTGAAAATTACCTCTATTGTGGCCCCAAAATAATATTTTTACTTAAAAAAATTTAGGAAGTTAATACAAAGTTTACAAATTTGAGACTATAGAGTGGGGCACGGTGGTGCATGCCTGTAGTCTCAGCTATTGGGAAGGCTGAGGCGGGAGACTGCTTGAGCCCAGGAGTTTGAGGATATAGTACACAATCATTATGCCTATGATGAGCGATGCACTCCAGCCTGGGCAGCACAGTGAGACTTTGTTTTGAAAAAATTTAAGAATACAAATCATAATTGTAGCTTTAGATTACCTCAGTGGTTAACTAGTAGATTAACCCATATGGATTTTTGTGTGTGTGTGTGGTCAAACATAGGCAACTTCATATGGCTCCACCTCTAGCTACTTGAAATAGCTAATGGCTTCTTAAAGTTTTCATTTTTGAATTTCTAAATACTTGATAGTTTTAGGAAAAAAATTACTGAATTGCATTTTCTGTGCAAGGCACAGAAAGACATTATACTCACCAGAATTTGGTCCAAATATGAGCCACAAGATATAGACAAACAAACTGTAGTATTAGATGGAACCTTTGAAATTATCTCCACTTCGGCCGGGCGCGGTGGCTCACGTCTGTAATCCCAGCACTTCAGGAAGCCGAGGCGGGCGGATCACAAGTCAGGAGATCGAGACCATCCTGGCTAACATGGTGAAACCCCGTCTCTACTAAAAATACAAAATATTAGCCAGGCATGGTGGTGGGCGCCTGTAGTCCTGGCTACTTGGGAGGCTGAGGCAGGAGAATGGCGTGAATCTGGGAGGCGGAGTTTGCAGTGAGCCAAGATCACACCACTGCACTCCAGCCTGGGCGACAGTGAGACTGTCTCAAAAAAAAAAAAAAAAAAAAAGAAATTATATCCAATTCTAGCGCTTTTCAGATGTGAAAACTGAGTTCCAAAAGAGTAAGTGACTGATAGAGCTATGATTAGAATTCAGGTTTCCTGAGAGCCAATCTATATTTTTATTATACCACATTTCTTTTCGTTATAATTATTTGATTGTATTTTGGATACTCTTATGGGTAGTTTTCCTTTGTTTTTTGCTATGCTGATCATGATTTTTTTTCGGGGGGGCTAGGGGATAGTACTGTTGAGTTTAGGTTGGAGTGGGTCATTGAGGGCTTTGAAAGGATTAGAAAAACTGTTGATTGGCAGGTATAGACATTAGCTAGTCCTAGTTTCTAGTTGATTTATCATGTTAGGATGTTGAGATAAAGTTCTTTCATTTTTGCCTTCAGATGACCTGTTGCAGCTATTAATGTCATGTCCCCAGATTGAATTAATTCAGTGTCTCACTAAAGAGTTGAATGAGAAACAAACATCTTTATCTTTTGGTCTTGCCATACTTCATCTGTTCTCTGTAGATAAGAAAAAAATTGGCATTAAGCTACTTCAAGAAATAAATAAAGGTGGGATAGGTAAGTAGAGTAAAATGTTGTGGAAGAAATAGTAGTGGGTTATTTAGGGAGAGGTTCAAGATGATTATGCATGAGTTAACTCAAATTTCCCTAAGAGTTCCTTCTTAGCAAGAGTTAACTTAAGGAGTTTATAAATATAAAGATTGCCATATAAATAATAATCCGTTGGCAATAGGATATGTTTCTTGAGAGAATTAAAATGAAGAGATAATCTTTATGAAGCCTGAGGGAGATGTTACAATAATTGTAATCACTAACACTAAAAACGTTATATATATTGACATGTGTATATTTAGCTATCTTTTATATGTATTTTAAATGTTATGTAGATATAAACTATATGTTTTAATTCCTAAACCAAATGTCTGTGTGTTTACATGTGATATTCACTCTGAACCTGACTCTGCTGTGGATTAGAGAATAACTGATTAGGCTGGGTGCGGTGGCTCACCCCTGTAATCCCAGCACTTTGGGAGGCTGAGGCGGGTGGATCGCTTGAGCTCAGGAGTTCAAGACCAGCCTGGGTGACATGGCAAAACCCTGTCTCTATGAAAAAAATACAAAAACTAGCCAGGTGTGGTGGCATGCACCTGTAGTCCCAGCTACTCGAGAGGCAGAGGTGGAAGGATCGCCTGAGCCCAGGGAGCTCAAGGCTACAGTGAACCGTGATTGTGCCACTGTGCTCCCTGCCTCAAAAAAAAAAGAGAGAGAGAGAGAGAGAATAATTAAAACTCACTTTTATTTTCTTTTCATTAATTTAATATAGGAAGTTGAGCAGACAACTTGATTTTAAATTACTTGAAAACATATTTTGGAAGATAACTATATTTTGAAATTATCATTACAAATATCAACTAAAATATTTTTGTAGAAAAATGGTAATTATGGTAGAAATAAAATTATAGTGATGACAGTGTTCTAAAAAGTGATCCTCTTTTATGAAGTACCATAAGTAATGCAGGTAATAGATAAGAAATGAGTTCCATAAACTGGTAGATCACTAAGATATTTTTAAAAGTAAATAATATTAAATTTCTTTAACAAAATGATTTTATTTCCTTAAGAAAAATATTTGTTATAGAAGCCCCATCATTAAGAGGTCTCCATCTAGAGACAGGATGAAGAGTTTGTCAAAGAGTTTCCTAAGTCCTTGGGTTAGCAGCACTAAGGCATTTATATAAGTGTTTGAAATCATGAAAACTTCACCTATAGGTCCACAGTTATTTGATAGTTTCTAGTGGTGCCTTATAGACTCTTTGAATAAGAATGAGCCCACATTCATCACTTTCTGAGCTCCTGCCTTATAGCCTTCAACATCTGCTACCATAACAAGAAGGCAATGAGTGGAGACGTGGAATGTGAGAAGTGGTAAAGGGTTGAATTGAGACATCAAGAGGTTAATGATAAGGGAGGAGGAGAAGGAACTAACACGAATACTTACCATGAGCTAGACTGCTGCATGTTATATCATTAGTCTTAGGGGAATCAGGTAGAGTTTAACAGTAACTGAGTTGAGATTATCTCCTTTTCTATTTTTGAAGAATCACTAAAGTATGGATTATCAAATAAGTGCCATACTATAATATTGTATTTTTTCCTCCACAGATGCAGTAGAAAGTCTTATGATAAATGATTCATTTTGCTCCACAGAAAGGTGGCAAGAAGTGGCAAATATATGTTCACAGAATGGCTTTGACAAATTATCTAATGACATCATGTCTATTCTTCGATCTCAGGCTGCAGTTACAGAAATTTCTGAAGAGGATGACGCAGTTAACCTAATGGAACATGTGTTTTGGTAGTTCTATATCTTAACCAGCAGAGGGAGCTTGTACAACACTTTATGTATGCTGGTTGGGCAAACGGATTTTAACATAACTAACTAATAAATAAATTTAGAGTAAGCTCTCAGAAATAAATCACACTTTTGTTATGATGACATTTGGATTTGTCTTTGAAATATTTATACCATTGCTTCCTTTTTCCCATATGGTCATTTCTTATATTGAATCTTGATAAAATCCAAGATTATAACTTTGTGCGAAACAGTGTAGGCATTTTTATCTAAGGACATAAGCTAATGTCCAGATATATTACTTTCTGGTGATGTAATATGATAGCAAAAACTAAAGAAGGTGCAGGTAGTATCCTGTGTATTAGACTGTCTTCCCAAATGTGAAATGCTACAAGCCTGACTTGACAAGAAAAACAGAATATCATTTCAAGGTTGGACTTGCTGGCAAAAACCTGGAGTACAGTAATTTTGTATTGCTGATTTAAAGATGTGCCCCATGCTTTGATATACATAAATATGGCAAAGCTTAAGCTTCTAGTATAAAAACTGGGAATCTTGGCATATTATTACTTAGAGAGAGGACCAGTCAAATTTTGCATAGAAGTAGACCTGTGATACCTATAGGTATGGAAAATATGTCATAAGAAGTGGTTTTGGATGATTTCAAGTATCTGAATAAGTATTTGATTGAAAATTCTGAAAGTTCTGTGCCGTGGACAGTTGTAATATTTAAAATATTTAATGATTAGTATGGCATGGGCACAAATCGAACAGAACAGATACCCGATTAATCAGAACAGCCTTTAGCCCTTACGCCACACCACAGCATACTAGCTAAATGTTAGCCTGGACCATGGAACATGGTTAAAATGAGCTGCTGGCTGGGCGAGGTAGCTCATGTCTGTAATGCCAGCACTTTGGGAGGTTGAGGCAGGAGGATCACTTGAGCCCAGGAGTTTGAGACCAGCTAGGTAACACAGTGAGATCCCATCTCTGTTATTAAAAAAAGAAAAAAAATTTTCAAGTAAAAAATGAAAATGAGCTGCTATTAGAATAAGAGCAAAGAGCATAACTTTTCCCCTCCTAAACTTAAATTGCATATGTATTTTTATGTTATAGTGGAAAGAAGATGAACAGGGAGTCAGACAGCTTCATATTAAAATTCTGGTCCTACCTCTTACTCATTTATAAAATATGGGCAGTCCTCCCTTAGGCTTGTTGTGAGGATTAGTGATAATGTATGTGTAGTGTAAGTGTATAACATGATAGAGGAACTTAGTAAAAGATAGCTATAATTCCTTTGTAATAGGCCCCAGAAACACACGTTTTTCTACTTAGTTTGTACTTACTAAATCCCATATGTCTATTCATTTGTATTTATATGTTTATCCTTCTTTATGATATATTGGTACAACTTACTGCTGATATTATCTGTCCACACTCGTATTAGGGTTGCCTGGCTTATTTTATAAATTCAGAAGCATTCAAGCTGAGTTTTTAATTTTTCCATTTGGTGCTAAACAGAGTACTGGATAATTATAATTCAGCTTTCTAAAACATAGCTTTTTTAAAGTAATACATGTGCATAGTTTAAAAAGCAATTTATTACTAAAAGGCTTATCAAAATAATATTTTGATTTTTGGCCTTCATGCTAGCTGTTGAAAAGAGCAGATAAAGGATGGAAAAAAGGAATGGAGAGGGAGAGGTATTTCAGCAGCACTGGTTCTTTGTGTACCAATGGCTTAAAACCTTTTTTTTTTTTTTCTTTGAGACCTATATGATTGATAGAAAGCTATTATGTGTCCGTTGACAGAGCTTAGAAAAAACATGTCTCCATGAAAGCTGGGAGGATAAAGTAGGTATATAAATCTAGAGAAAGCTTAAACAGCTGTTGTTGTTCTTCTTCTAATTTTGCCTTGTTTTTCCTTTGCTCATTATTACTCCTTCTCAGCTAGCATTGCCTTTGGCAGCTTTCCCAAGGAAAGTGAAAGTTGTTAAGTGAATATAAATTAAAATGCCTGGTGATGGAAAATGGAGTTGGGAGGAAGAGCAAGATTATAAAGTTAAATGAGAAAGGAGAAAGAATTGAGTTGTGAGCTACAGAGGGCTTTGAAGCTGTCAGAGCCTCCGTGTAAGCTACACTGAAGGAGGTATCATCTGGGCCTCAGCACAGAAACCTGCATTCTAGACCAGCCCCACCACTGTCTAGCTGCGTGTCCTTTTCCTCATGCTTAAGATAAATTTATTTTGACTAGATAACTCCTCTTGTCATTTCCACCTCTAAAATTCAGTAATTCTGAAAAGGTACAAATTATTTCCCAATGCTTCTTGACCTTCAGCCTAAATTTGAAATACTACAATTCGACATCAGCATCAACAACATCTACTGAATACCTATTTTGCATACAATTTCTGCTAGCAAGATTACAACTTCAATGGAAACACACAGCATATTTTAAAAGTTACTACTAATAATTCCTTAACATTATCTAATAGTCCATATTCAAATTTCACCAGTTGCTTAAAAATGCCTTTTAACATTTGAATTGTTCCAATGAAGATTTAACCAATGTTCGTGTGTTCCATTAGGTCTTGCTGTCTTGAGCGTGTCTTCTCTCTTTTTTTCTTCTTGCCATTGATTGCTTTACATAGCAGTTGCATAGCAAGAGCCATGATGAAGTAAGTTTCTCTGATTTCACATTAGGTTTTCTTTCTACCATACCATTGAGGAAAGGAAGGTATTTTTTCCAATATTTAATTGTAACTAGCTACATTTTTGTTTATTGTAGTCATGCATGTATCAGAATGAATTTCTATTAAATTCATTCATTTGGAAAGGTTTAGAGATGTTCTGAAACAGAAATCTAATCTAATGAAAAAAATTTTCTTAATATTTAGAACTTTTTCAAATTCCTGAATTAACTAAGAAATGACCATTAAATTAATCACTTTTTTAACTTTAAAAGATGAAAAACTGATACTTTTTAGGTGCCTGGAATTCTGTTGGATTGCTAAAGCATATGTTAAGTCAAAAATCATAGCAGAGGCCTTATTTTTTTTTTTTAACTTTGTACATTTCATAGAAAGCGCGTACGTTTCTTCCATTCTTTCTCAGAAAAAAACAACATTTAACAAATGTTCGGTGTAGCACTACTGAAAATATAAAACTGTCAATTTGCTAGTAGTTATAATTTGTTGTGTTCTTGAATAAAAATATATTGGATACATAAAAAAGACACTATTTTTTATATAATTTTTTTCATTTTTTTTATTGATAATTATCTACAGGTACCCTCCCGAGCTAGAGGATCTGTGTCTACCTATAGAGGTCTGGCACTACTGTAAATGAGTGAAATGTATCACAGTCAGGGAAAGGAGGATCTGAGGACTTTTTGAAAGGGACAATTGTGATAAATTCCACGCAACGTTTATTATGCAGGACTGTGGACTCGGTGTTACCTTCTGGGAGGCTGGAAATGTAGATTTGATGTAAGCAGTCCTGATTTTTCAGAATACCGTGTGGGCCAAAGAAAACACATCAGCAGACCAGACTTGACCTGCAGGTCACTTATTTGAAACCTCTGTCCTAAACTGAGGCTAGATTTGATTTCTTGTTTCCATCAACTTTATTTTTATTTATTTATTTATTTATTGAGACAGTCTTGCTCTGTCACCCAGGCTGGAGTACAGTGACGCAATCTCAGCTCACTACAACCTCCGTCTCCTAAGTTCAAGCGATTCTCCTGCCTCAGCCTCCTGAGTAGCTGAGATTACAGGTGCCCACCACCACACCCAGATAATTTTTGTATTTTTAGTAGAAATGGGATTTCACCATGTTGGCCAGGCTGGTCTCAAATTCCTGACCTCAAGTGATCCATCTGCTTCGGCCTCCCAAAGTGCTGGGATTACAGGCGTGAGCCGCCATGCCTGGCCTCCATCAACTTTAAATGAAGCTTTTTGAGTGGATAAAGATAGTAAAGAATTACCATATTTTCTCATTTGGTGCCGGGCACGGTGGCTCATGCCTGTAATCCCAGCACTTTGGGAGGCCAAAGCAGGTGGATCACGAGGTCAGGAGATCGAGACTATCCTGGCTAACATGGTGAAACCCTGTCTCTACTAAAAATACAAAAAATTAGCAGGGCATCGTGGCGGGTGCCTGTAGTCCCAGCTACTCGGGAGGCTGAGGCAGGAGAATGGCATGAACCCGGGAGGTGGAGCTTGCTGTGAGCCCAGATTGCGCCACTGCACTCCAACCTGGGCGACAGAGCGAGCTCCGTCTCAAAAAAAAAAAAAAAAAATTACCTTTTTTTCTCATTTGGAAAAGCCTACTGCAGAATACCCAATTTACTGATGTAACAGAAGGGAGGATAAAGGATAGAGCTACTATGTGGAAGCCAATCCAGTATGGAGGCCATTTTGGTTTCTAATGCAGAGGAACGTGTAAGATAACACAGATGTAATCTGTGTGTAGAAAGAGAAAAAGGTACAGAGTCCTTAAGTAATTTTGACTTCCCCCAACCCCACTCTAAAAAATTAATCTATAGTATTCTTCCCCAACTGTATGCCATAAGCTTGGTTAAGAAGTAGTAGTATAGTTTTAAAATAGAGGCTACAAAATTGCATTTTGAAGATTTGCCTACGTGGATCCTTGTCTCTATCCAGTTAGCTCTTCAGTGGAAATTCCACTGTGGCTGTGGGGGGGTTTCCATTATCATGTTGTATGTAAACTGCAGCAATAATCACCACCAAGCATTTTTAGCTCTCCATTGGGTGCAAACTCTACCTTTAAACTCCCATGTGTATTAATGTGTTAGGGCCACACTGAGAAGGATCCACCTTTTCCACTCAAGGAACAGTTGTGTGGGCTAAATTCTGTTTTCTTGTTTTATTAGGTCAGATAATAAAGATACTATCATAAATAGAGTGAGCTTTAGGTGAGTTTGTGCTTAACAGGAAGGGCATGTCACCCTTCCACCACTTTGGTTGTACACAGATCAGAATATGTAACAACACATTCCCATCCATTTTCTCCCGGAACTCTTCCTTCACCTCATACTGCTCACACATTTTGACTATGTTGTTGTTGTTCTTGTTGTTATTTGAGACGGAGTTTCCCTCTGTCGCTCAGGCTGGAGGGCAGTGGCGCGATCTCGGCTCACTGCAACCTCCGCCTTCCGGGTTCAAGTGATTCTCTTGCCTCAGCCTCCTGAGTAGCTGAGACTACAGGTGCCCCCCACCATGCCTGGCTAATTTTTGTATTTTTAGTAGAGATGGAGTTTCACCATGTTGTCCAGACTGGTCTCAAACTCCTGACCTCAGGTGATCTGCCCGCCTCGGCCTCCCAAAGTGCTGGGATTACAGGCATGAGTCACCATGCCCAGCCTGCTCACACATTTTGAAAATGTACATTTTGGAAGCAGCCCCCAGCAGTGGGACTGAATTGTCAAAGATTTTTGCCAAATTGCTTGAAGAGTTAGACGTTTATGAATTAACGATCATGAGTTTTGATTGCAGGCCTTGACCAATCCAAAGAGTTTAAAAAGTCAGTTTAAAAAGTCAGCTTGAAAAGTCTTCATGCTGTTTTTGGCCAGCCTCCCTGAGGTGAGTACTTAATATTGATCAGCTTCTGAACACAACATCAAGAAACAGGTTCATGCTGCTACTAGGATCAATAATAAGGATGGGAAAAATATTGGCAGAGAGATTCCAGTGGCCTTCCAGATTGCAGTGCAGAGACCCTGCTTGCATCAGAGCATTAATCTTGGCATCAGAGAATGTGACTCTCCCTGTTTTCATGAGGGTGCAGGGACAGGGAGAATAATTGCCAAGGCTATTCCTTCTATTCCTTTGCCCAGGTTGGTCCCTTAGAGATGGGGAAAACTCCTTTATGCTATTTGTGTATATAAATAGCCTCCAAGTTTCCTCTACCCTCTGGGTATGCTTTTTCAGGTGTCAAGTGAACATGATAATATTTTCTAAGAGATGATTTTCATGCTGACCATTTCTGTAAGGAACAAGAGGTCTTGAAGAGCTCATAACACCAGTAGCAAATACCAGAAAAAGGTGCGTTATCTTAAACCCAAGTGACACATAAATTAGATATCAATAAGATTACAGCTACTCCTGTGATTTGTAATCCATGAAAAATTGCTCACAAAATGAATATTTCCTAAATGAAATAGGACTGAAATAGTTATTTTGAAGAAATTTTCCTGGGAATGCTCTGTTAAATGAATCGCCAATTCCTGATTTATCTGCCTGATAAATGTTAGCTTTGCCTAATGCAAGGTATCCCATTGATAGGGATAATAGCAGGCACCACAAGCACTTGTTAAAATCATCTTTGCTTAAATGCTAAATAGAATATTGAAACTAGTTTTGAGGCTTCACATTAAGAAAACTGTTACTGGGCCGGACGCGGTGGCTCAAACCTATAATCCCAGCACTTTGGGAGGCCGAGACGGGCGGATCACGAGATCAGGAGATCGAGACCATCCTGGCTAACACGGTGAAACCCCGTCTCTACTAAAAAATACAAAAAACTAGCTGGGCGAGGTGGCGGGCGCCTGTAGTTCCAGCTACTCGGGAGGCTGAGGCAGGAGAATGGCGTAAACCTGGGAGGCGGAGCTTGCAGTGAGCTGAGATCTGGCCACTGCACTCCAGCCTAGGCGACAGAGCAAGACTCCGTCCCAAAAAAAAAGAAAAAGAAAAAAGAAAACTATTACTAATTTTGAGCATGTAGAGATCATGGAGATGTAGAAAGAAAAGTTGAAGGAATGGGGTTATTCAATCTGGGAAGAAAAGAACAGTTCTGCCTTTGAGTGTCCAAAAGCCTTCACATTAAGGAGACAACCAACTCTAAGCCACATGAGCCACAGAACTAAATAATAAACAATTTTTATTTGACACAGAATAATTTGCTGATGGTGGAGATTGTGAAGGCTGATATTGGGTGAATAAAGAAAGTTGTAGAAGGAGCTACTCTGAAGGTCTTAAAAAATAAATGAGTTGCTCTCTTCCGTTTGATATAATTATGGTAGTTTCTGGGTTTTGGAGGAGTCCTTAAGAAAATTCTTGAGATGATCTTTTTTGAGAAGACTTGTGCAACACTCAAAATTACTTAATCCAACAACCATTTCCTGATTACCTACTAAAAGATGAATAAGACATCCTGTCTATCTCGTGGGTACTTGCAATCTAAAAGTAAAGTTGTACATAAACAATTGTAATACAACATGGTAAGAGTTAAAATGGAAACATTTACAGAACAATGACCTTTCTTGGTTAGGATTTACTAGAATATGTGCCAGTTTGACTCAGTAGATGGCAGCAGAGATGCCAGCGAGACCTTCAGTGATTTGAATTGTTTCTATGGGGAAGAAGTGAGGCTGGTCCTATTGTTTCTAGTCACATTTTTCAATACAGACATATTTTCTGGCTGGAAAGCTTGAGCAGCTCGAGGACCATTCTTGGGGGATTTGTGTTCTTAAGAAGATGGCCCTTTAAAGAAAAAAGTTACTCTATATGAAAACATGTAAACATCCAAGCACTTTTTAATATTTAGCTTTTCAGTGAAATAGGGATGAGGGTGGGGTGAGTGGGGTGAGTCCAGGCCTGGAGAGAGGGCTTTGTTTTCTAAACATAGAATTTATTTTCAAGGCACTTCAAAGGCTGTATTGTAGTAGGATCCTGCTCGTTATGCAGCAATCCTACACTGTTAGACGCTTGACCAGGCCCCTCGTGGCTTGGCTGACTTTTCTGTTTGTGCTGCTTTGGGTTGAAGCACAGGCTAGTTGAAGAGTTGTTGCTGATGCCATAACTGTAGCTTTGAAACCTTCTGGCATGCCCAGTGTATTCTTCAGGAAACTAAGAAATGTAGACTTGAAAATAACCCAAGCCGGACAACTTGTTGCCAGATCGTGGGGAGTTTGTTCTCCCAAAATCATTGAGATGGTTTCAAAACTAACTGAAGAGAGTGCCTGGTTATTCTGCTTGCACAGTGCTCAAGCCTTGATTCAAAGTGGGGCAGTGAGATTAGTACAGAGGTGAAAGCAAGAGGCATCTCTGTATGCCTCTGAAGCAGACCCTAGCCTAGGAAGTAATTCTGAGACTTCTTTATTATTTTCTGACCAGAACTGCCAGCTCACGGATCCCCGCATACCACGTAGCTTTTGAAGGGAGACTGTAAGCCAAGGTTAAGTCTTCTTTCACCCCACAGTTGGGGTTTTCTT